GCCAGGGACCAAACCACAGCCTGTCCCCGTGTTCCAGGGCACTGCCCCACAGGACACTGCCCCGCAGGACACGACCCGGGATCGCGGCTGCCCTGGGCTTCTCTGAGTGAAGGGATCAGCTCTGTAATAGCCTGGGAGGAGGCATGGGTCCACCGTAGTGCTCAAGTGCACTGACATCTCACAGCCATGATAATCCTTCAGTGAAATAAGAAGAAAAAGAACCCGTGAAAGCCCCATCTGTGAGTCAGGGGACTGCGCCCAGGAAGAGATTACAAATAGCAGGAGATAATACAGTTAATGCTGCCCGTGGCTTAGGGGGAGCTTTGTGTGCAGTGTCTGGCTGGACTGATGCTTTGTCGTGACCTTGAGTCACCAGCCTTAGGACATTTTAAAAGTTGCATTTTCAGAACCATTGTTACTTTTCTGCATTTTACCATGCTTTGCAATGCTCTGCTGATCTTGAAGTGTGAGTAACCACCTCTGGAGAGATAATCCCTCAGGGCAGAGGCAGTATCTAATACCCAAAATGTATTGGCCACTAAAGAGCCTTCAGTCATAAAACTGTGACAATAGGCCCTCTTCATGTGTAGGAGTTGACCCAGTGTTCAGCTCCCCAGGGTCAGACAAAACCTCAGCAATTGCTATTCTTTATAAACAATTGCCATTTGTGTGCAGTTTTAACGAGCCATCTGGGCCTGCCCTATGAGCACAGAACAGATCCTGGGTTTGGTGCCAACCTTAAGGGTGCCCCGAGCAGGGCTGGGGCAGTTCAGAGAGACATACCTGGGACGTGGCAGCCTGCAGTGAAGAAAAAACTCAAAATGCCTACAAAAGCAAAGAATCAGGAGGAAATTATGCCTGGCTTGACAGTAAAGTTAAAGGTAAAATAAAGGTCCAGGAAAAAAATTGCGATTGACAATCTGAATAAGAAGGGTTTTCTGGTGAGTGGATTCTGCTCTTACCTGGGGGAAGGCCAGTTACATGTCTTGCTGATGGGCACTCCTGGTGACCTTGAGTCACTTACCCAAGGCTTTTCTGTCTTGTCTGTGAATGAATGGATGTTACTGTGGATATATATGGATATTACTATTTCACAAGGTGCATGGAGAAAGAATGCATACAGAAATTAGGGTTGGTTGACTTCTGTGGTAGACAAGCCATAGGTTCAGGTACCTGGGAGTTTTCATAATGGTCTAGTAGGTCACAGTGATTGCCTGTGCCACTGGCATTGTCCTGCATGCTCCACATTCATGTTGCAAATCATTTCATTCTGTTTTCTGCAGAGAAAATCTTCATCCGTGTGATTGATCCCTTCACTATAAAGCCCCTGGATAAGAAGACAATACTTGAAAGTGCAAGAGCAACCAAGGGCAGAATCATCACTGTTGAGGACCACTACTATGAAGGTGAGCAGGGTCCAGGAGGTCACAGCCCTCAGGGGCTGGAAGCTCCCAGCTTCTGACCCAGCAGAGGAGTAGGGGATCTGATGCTGTTGCTCCATTAAAGCCAAAGAGAGATTTCAGCCTTTTTGTTGCTGTTAGGATTATCAAGTGACACTGAGGGTTGAAAGTTTCCTCAGATGCAGTGGTTTAATCAGGGCTGCCTTTCTGATGCCCTTCTGTGCTTGGTCCAAGTGAAGTCTGGATTCATTTGTGCCCAGTGAAATTGTAAATTCCTGTTGTGCTGCAGGGGTTCTGAACAGGAGTGTTCTCTGAGTGGCTGTACAGCAGCTGCTCTGCAGGTGTGAAATTGCAGGAGAGACCATTGCTGTGCAAACTTCTTAAGTATTCCCTGTGTCCAAAAGCTTGGCTCCAGGTTGCCTGAAATCAGATGTTTTTGGCAGTTTCTGCAGTCCCTCTGGGATAAATTCCTCCCTCTTTCTTCTCTGCTGTTGTAGATGTCTACTAATAGAAATTAGTAGATATAATTATGATAATATTGCTCACCCTACTTTAAGGTGAGCATCACTCTTGCCAGGTACCTGAAGTGAGCTAGATCTACCATAAGTGCTGGATACACCATACTTTTGTTCCAGACTCTGAATGGTGATAGGTCACTGAACCTCATAATTTTCAAGCTTACTGTTCAAATCTGGACAAGTATTATACTGCAGATTTGCAAGATGGCAAATCATGACACTGTGAGGTGCTGAACAGGCTATTTAACTCTCTGGAGCAGGCAGAGCAGGGCAGCTGTACAAGCATCAGAACCCTGAGTGTGTTGCAGGCCCCATCAGGCTGATCTTACCAGCTGCCCTGCAGAGGTGCCCCTGGCTGCAGGCTCAGTTCGACTGGTTACATCCCACCATGCCCAAGCTGTGGGAAGGCCTCCCAGATACACCCTGACTGAAGGGCAGCACCAAGGCGTCTCTCCTACCAGGTCCCAGAGCACATGCTTTGGACACAAGTCACGTGTTTTCTTCTTCCCTAGTACTCTTGCTTCCAGTGTCTCTCCTGCCTCCACGCAGTTCCCGTTGCATCCTTTGTCCCTGTCAGTGATAGTGACTCAGTGTGAGCTGAGCTCCCAGCAAAGGTTGCAAGTGTGTTACATAACCAGAGAGGTGCCCAGCGGCACGTACAGCACTGGGGAGAGATGGAGCTCTGAAATGCTGCTGAGATTGGTTGGAATTTCAGCACGTTAAGTACACTCCTAAATACTCTTCAGTCTAAATGTATTTTTAAACCTATCCCTCGGTGGCTGCCGCCAAGGTGCTGAGAGCTTGCTGACAGTCCTGTGCCCTTGAGAGGCAGGTGTGTCTGGCTGCTGATTGGGAAGTACTTCAGAAATGTCAGGCTGCCTGTCCTCGGAATGCCTTTGATATAGGGAAAGGTTTTCATTTCACACTTGGCCAACTCAGATACACGTGATTGGTATTTTCATAAGCCTGGGGACCGAGGCTGTACGTTGCAGGGCCCTTTGCTCAGGCACACACAGAGCCTGTGCATTCCCTGCTCGGATGCTCCGCTCTAGGCCGTGTTTGCCCTCTCTCCGCAGGTGGCATCGGCGAGGCCGTGTGTGCCGCGGTGGTGGGCGAGCCCGGCGTCACCGTGAACCGCCTGGCCGTGTCCCAGGTGCCCCGCAGCGGGAAGTCAGCGGAGCTCCTGAGGATGTTTGGCATCGACAAGGATGCCATCATGCAGGCTGTGAGGGCGGCCGTGTCCAAGTCCAGGAACGCCGAGTAGTTCGAAGCATCTCGTGCTGTGTTACGGAAGAGCTTGTTCGGAGAGGTGCTGTCAGTTCAAGGCAGGCAAAGGTGCTTTATGTAGAGAGTTCTAATAAAAATACCAGCTTAAAAAACCTCCTGGGCTTTCATCCCTTTTTTTCTCTGTGGGGCTTGGTGTGGTGGGATAACAGCTGAGTGTTTTCAGTCCCTCCTCTCTGTGCTGCCCCCCAGCCATTTAAAGCCAAAGGCAAGGAGGAAGTACCTGATGTGCTGGGAAAGTGGGGATGAGGGCTAGCAGAGCACTGGGAATGAGCAGTGAGCCCTGGGCTCAGGGAGGACATGCTGAATGGTGGTGCAGTGAGCACAGGCTCATGAAGGAGGTTGAAACTTTTCATAGGAACTTGTATTTTTGAGTGCTTGGCCAGTGCTGCAGCAAGAGTGACACTGAGAAGGACTAAAGGAGGATCTGGAAGAATGGCAGGAAATTCCCAGGTACCCAAGAGGAAGCAGCTGATTGTGTAAGTTGCTTTTTTTCTATCAAATTGACTTTTCTCAGGTGAGCTGCTCTAAGCTGGCTGAGCATTTCATTTTGCATAGTGGGATACACTGGGTCATTTTTTAAATTTTTTGCTGTTTTTAAATGTTTTGCTTGTTTTACCCTTAAGCTTCTGTTAAAAAAAAATAAAAATTCATTGTTGTGACTGCAGAGTACCCAGTTGAAAACATTTAGTACTGAAATATGTTTCTCATCCTGACTGTTCCACAAATTGCCTTTCAGAAAGATGTTACACAGCAGAGAACACTAAAAAATGCCCTTTTCATCAGAGCAGGGTGACTCTGTGTAGTTCTCAGTTCACCCAAAAGCCATTTGCCATTGACAAGGCTACACTGGTCTGAGCAAGGCTGTATTTGCAGACTAACACAAAATATACAGTATTTTAGGATGACAGGATATTTCTACAAAGACATGGAAATAGTACATGTAAATGAGAATATAAGTATTACGAAATAAGGTATTCATCCTTCTTGCACAATTTAGCCCCTGAGGTGTTGGGTGGGTGCTGTGCTGTGTTGGTGCAGGCCTGGGTGCAACTGTTGGTGTTTCTGGCAGTGCAGGTGGAACTGCAGGACCAAGTGATTGACACTGGTGCTTAAAATTAAGCACAACCAAAAAGGAATCTAATTTTCTGAGCAAGGGTTGAAATTGTTCGTCTAAACCTCTGGGCTGTTTGGGTTAATGGTTTTCAGATCTACATTTCCTTACAATCCCATGTTTTATGGCTTTCTCTGTTCAACTTGTTGCCTTCATCATTCTATGGGTATGAAGACCTTACATTTTTACTAAAAATTTAAAGGTATACTTTTTGTTGCAGTCTGCCTGTGATTGTATTAGCCCTACATATATAATTTGTAACATGGCCCTATAAACTGAAAGGGATGCCAGAGTTCACTTTATTCTGCTCAAACATTGGGGGATGAGTCAAATCAAACACTTTATTTTTTCCCCTCAGGAGAAGAGATGAAATTTGCTGTTGTTAATAATCTCATTACTGCACCATTATGTCAGTGCATGTAACATCTCCCCAGCTCTCCCCAGGTGCAATCCTTGCCCGCCCACTGCTCCGAGTTCTGCCACAGTTAATCTGCCTCAGCTCTGCTGCACTGCTGGGGCTCAACTGGGAGAGCAGCACCACGGCTGCCTGCTCTGGGCATCACAGGGAGGGAGGAGGAGGTGCCTCTGGGGCTGCCAGGATTCCTACTGAAACATCCAGAGCCTCATCCAGAACCAGCACAGGACATTTTGTTGATTTTGATGCACCACAGGCAGAATCACGTGGAGAATGTGTTCATATTTAATGGAATTAAGGCAATCACGGTCTAGATGCTGGTTTGTGTTTGAGCTTTGCTGAGCCACAAACCCCTTCAGAAGCAAGAATGGGCCCTGTACCCCCGTTTCAGGTTTATTTTTGAGGGGAAAGAGTGATGTCTTTCGGTGGTTTGACATTTCAATATTTCACATTGGTCATTCAGTTTTTAGGTTCACCTCATAAAGCAGTTCTTCTAGTACTGAGAATTCAGACAGCATGGTTTGTGGAACTCTCCTGAAACGTTCCTCCTAGGCAGCTTTCCTCAGACCTGTGTCATGAAGAAAAAGACAGCTGTCAGGACTGCTGTGTTCAGATTGTCCTGTATCCATGCAGCTTTCCAGCATTCTTCATGTTTTGTGTCCATGAATATGGATAAACGTGAGCCAGGAGTCTGTTTGAAGACCCAACGTGCAAAAACTCCCCCCACTCCCTGAGTTTTATTTGAGCCATAGAATTCTTATGCAGACACTGCCAGGAGTAGTTAATACCCCATACGGGGGTATTAAAAATGTGAAAATGCTCTGCCACAGGGAAAGAGTCAAGAATAATCCATTTTCAAACCCAAGCTGTAATGAACTGTAGTAAAATATTTCTTTTTTTTTTTTTTAACTAAAGAAATAAGATTGTAAATTGTAATTTAGAGAACTTTATCTTAATACTTGACCAAACCAAAGTACCCAGGAAGGTCTAGGGAAGACACACACTGTCAGTAAAAAGAGCACTGTTACCTCTTGGCCTGAATTTGTCAATCAGAGGAACAAAGCTGTCAAGGACGCTCCGAATCCGATACACTGGTTGTGAAAACAAACACATTTACATAAAACATAAAAAACCAGGAAAATGGCAAAACCCAAATACTGACACTTGTTTAAACAAGCACTTCTGCGATACCATTAATAACAAAGTAGAAACAAGACTGATTCCTGAGAGAACCACCCCCAGCCCAGTGAAATGGTGGCACCAGGTTACAGAGGATGTTAAAAGTTCCTGGCTGGGGAGCCCAAACTGGCTGCTGTTTGCACCTCTCCTCTGCCATCCCTAGGGATTGCTAAAATGCTTATTTTTTTAGTATTCCCAGTAGCTGCTGCCATCCAGGTTCTGCTGGGAGCTGTCCTCAGTCCCAGGGGAATGGATGGCAAGCGGAGTGAGCAGAGTGAGCAGAGCATCTTATCGGGTGGATCTGGGAAGACTCGGCCTTGCTGCTAAAATTACCCGTTGTCATGGCAACACAGCATTCGGCCATTGCTGCAGAAAGAGGTGACTCAGGGTCTTGTGAGCATTGAGAAGGAAAAATGAGTCAACCTCTGCCTTCAGGGGCACCAAGGCTGCTCCTCTGCAGTCTCACTGTAACTGTGGAGGGGATGTTGGGGGATAATTCTGCGGGGAGTTATGGAATCTCAACTCCACAGCCTTGAGTAGTGGCTGTATGACCTTGTCCTAAGTGCAGGGACAGAGCTGCTGCTGTAGGGACACTTACCTAGACCAAAGTATATCCCAGTGGTTTCCAGGGAAGCAAAGGTGATTAAACCAATTCCAAGAGAAATAGTCCAATCTAAGGCAAAAAAATAAATGTTGGCTTTGTTCATTTTCCCAGAGTTCAACAATTTATCCTTCTATTGAATCTTGCCTTACCTTGGTGGTAGTAGTAGCAAACTAGTAAAGCTCCAATTGCAAAGCAAAGAATGACAAAATGAAAGAATTCATCTGAAATTGAGAAGGAAGATTAAGTCACAACTGTATCCAAGGCCATCTGGAAAGCACCTTCAGGTCCAGGGTATCAGTGAGGGAATAGTCTCATGCACTAGGACCAGCTGCACAATGGACCTGCACACAAGGTGCTGGGAGAAGCCTTGATGATTTTCATCAAGAAGTCTTGATGCACTTCAGCAAAGTACTTATGTCAGGAAAATAAAGGTTTTTTGAACCAGAGATCTTATTCTTGGACTGGACTAAGGTTCAACAGGTTAGTCATCAGTTCAATTAAAAAAAAAAAAAATTAAAAAAATTACCATCCTTCCGTATGCCCATCCACCGAACTGCCCACTGAGCGGGGGGAGTGCTCTGGTTCTCATATGCTGCAAAAAAGAAATGTCTTTTATTGCCATGGAACTCAGAAATTAAGGAGTTTGAAGTTTATTTCCCTTTTTGTATCTGAAATAGATTCTCAGAGCAGAATATGTGTAAAACTGTTTGTTCAAATAAAAGATCTGTGAGCCTTTCAGAAAGATCAAATTAGCAATTTTAAAATCACCTCAAAGAGCAAGTTTTTTCAAAAAAATTTAAAAACAAAAGTGTAACCAGATGGCTGCATTAACAATACTGAATTGTTTTAAAGCACTCTGGGTCTCTTCTGTCTCTTCTGGGACAATCCATAGTCTCAGAATTACACTGGGGGAATAAAGCTGCAGTACAAGGGAGCTTCAGTTTGATTCCTGGGTGCTTTGCACAACCACAGCTACAAGAATACAAGATAAACTTCTGTTTGCTTGTACTTACCATCTGCAATTGAATCTTCTCTTCTGGTAATCTCTGAAAAGCAATATAGTTATGTTATTTGTGATGGTAAAAATACCAATTACTACCAATAATACACAGTTGCTAAAACTGAAACTAAACCCAGGCAGAGCTGGGATCACGAGCTGCAAGTGTGTGTGACCTGAACCTGCCCAGCACAGCAGACACAGTGTCCTGCACTAGACAAACATTTTCAGTTTGGGGTATTGAACTAATCTAGAACTGAAGCAACAAAGGCTGGAGCAAGTGGTAGAGAGGCCAAACATCAACTGGAAAAGTACTGGGACCCTCTTTCTGTACTTGGCAATGTGGGGAGAATATGGCACTGCAACCTATTCTCTGCCCTGGTGTTTTGTGGAGCTCCTTGGGGACAGGTAACTCAAACACCTCCTCAAGGTGTTATGCTGCAATTTATATCTTCTCTACTGCACAGAAGAGAAGGTTAAGCAGGTGTCCCCTCAAGAAGGCCACTCCACTGGGCTGTCACTCCTAACTCATGCATGTGGCCTCAGCCTGGATGCAGGAGGAGTGGGGTCAGTAATGCAATTAAGCCATGAAGACTTCCTGCTCTGGGCTTTTTACATCCATTCTGCTGCTGCACAGCAGTGCCTGGTAAGAGGAAATCTGCCTTCCCACTGGTTGATGCAGTCCATGTAACCCTCTCATCTGGCACTGTTCTGTTGCTTGGCTTTCACCTGGCACCTCCTGCTGGGAATGCTCTGAGCTAAGGCAGGAGCTTTCTGCAACAGAATATCTGCACCATGCCCAAGTCTAACTGGACAGCAAGGGATTGACAGCCAGGGGTTATTTTTTAGTATATCAGCAGGTCAGTAAGAAGATTCTGCAGTTATAAACATCCTTTCAGCAGGAGGAGGTTACCTGGGAACGCTTACCTGAATCTCTGTAGGGAACCATCTCTGCTGGTGTGCCTAAAACATGATGCAAAGATGATATAGGTTAATACCTGCAGTCAGATAGAATCAGACTCCTGTGAGACAAATTAGATCTCCTAATGTCAATTTAAATGAGCTGCTCTTACATCTGGGCTGAGCTCAGTTTAAGACATTAGTTAAAATATTAAAGCCTTACATTTTTTACATCCATAGTTCTATAGCTATTTCTGTGTATTGACACAGCTCATTTTCTTTATCTGCACTGTCCTTCTTTTCCATCTTTCCTTTGGAAGGGAGGGAAAAGCCTCAGGAACGAGGTGGTCCTCGATGATAATCTTGTTCAACTCTAAGCACAAGGCGTGGCTGAGTGTCAGTATCAGTTCAGCTTCATCTTGTAGGAAATGTCCTTCCAACAGCCAAATTCTGCCTTGTCATGCTCCTATGTCTACACCTGTTAATATACCTTTGTTCAACAGTCAGACCAAAGAATGCATAAAATTATCCTTTTTTAGTTTATGTTGGTTGTCTCCAGTAAAAGCCAATACTGTTGCCACTTTGTCCTACCTCCGAGTAATTGGCCTTCAGTCTTCTGTCTTCCTAAATCTTCCTCATCACTGTCTGGGTAGAGAAGGTGTTTTTTCATCAGATTAAAGAAGAATGTGCCAGAAGTATCAGAAACAACAGCACTGTAGTTGTTTGCTCATAATATAATCATGTGAAGGTAAAAATCAAAGCTTTCAAATGCAAGGATTGCTACTGGTTGCTTTTGCCTCACAGCTCTCTTCAAAGCTGGCTGAATAGGTGAAACCCAACAAAATCTGAGTAACTTGTATAAAGGGGTGTAGTGAGAAAGTTCTTATTTAAAAAACATACATCAGCAGCACTGCTAATTAGCTTGAAAAAATTATTTCTAAATACAACATATTTGAAGTTAATCAGCTTTCTGTAACAAAGTAAGCCAATATCAGCATTACCACTTCCATGTTGCCTGTCACTTCATCTCTCGTTTTCCATGAATGAAATGGTCTTTAGTGGCAGCCAAAGTGACTCTTGACACACAGTTGATGTTTGCAAATAAGAAATGCTAGAGAAGTACCACAGCACTGCCAGCTACTGCCATACACTGACTATTCTTCCCCTCCTGCTATAGCTCAGGCTTCAGTCACACCATAAGCCATAGGAGGTCACAGATCTTTTATTTGGGAAGGAACCCTGCAGTAGATTTCTATGCTTCTGAAACCTCCAGCTTCCCACAAGAGTGGGAGGCAGCCACTGTTTTGCTGATGTAAAGGTACTGATGATTTTCTATGTTCTCTTTTTTGCACCATTTCCTACTTTTTTCAGAGCTCTGGAGAATTGCCTCTGAATTGCTGCACATCTGCTATGTCAATCTCTTCTGAACATGCAATCAGACTAAGTTATTTATCAGGGAAAATAAAATAAATCCTCTTTACCTTGTGTATCTTCATCCATGGATTCATGAGATGAATCTTCAGCCTTTTGTTCCTCCTGTGAAAGTACAAGATTCCTTTCCAGTCTCTTCAGGAGTTTCAACTTTTCATCTGTTTTATATATAAAGAAAAAAACATTATCAATGACTACGTTTTCTCTCTTTTACAGCGACAGATTTCACCATGCTTTATTAAGGTTCCCTGACAGGAAATCAGACCCTTAGTCTTACTTCAGCTGTATTTTTGCACACAATGAGTCATACAAAACATTACAAATCAAGCTTCGTACACACTACAGTTTAGACTTTCTTAAATGGTTGTGGTAGATGCCTAAAGTTTCATATTCTGGCCTTTAATTTACTCATAATGTCACCCCTGTGCAAATTCCCACTCCCTGAAACAACAGCAGCTGCAGCTGAACGATGCTTTAGCTGGAGAAGAGTGGCTCACCCTTCCCTGGGCTACTTGTGCCGTCACCCCGGTGGCTGCTGCGGGCTCCCTGTGCCGATGCCGCGGTTCCAGCTCCCTCTCGTGGCACAGGAGCACATCCCTCAAAGCCGGATCACCAGGGCAGGCACCTGCAGGGCGCTGAGGCGGCCCAGGCACTTTAGTGCAGGTGAATCCTTACAGCCTCACGTCCAGCTCAGGGCTGAGGGCCGGGGGTCTGAGCAGTGCTCCATTATTAGGGGCAGTATTTGGACACAGAAAGGTAGATGTAATTCCTTCCCCCTGGCTGCTCAGGCTCTCACTGCACAAGGGCAGGAGGGTCCTCCTGTGATGAACAGTCCCACCCTGACAGATGACCAACGCTGGGGGCTGTGCTCCGGGGTGGGAGGTCTTTCCCCTTCGGGAACATGTTTGATCAAGGCAGAAAAAGGAACAGGATGTCCTTAAGGATCTCCAGTTAAATTCAAGGTCATCTTAAGTGAGTGCAGCTCTGTCATCTATTAAAGACAATTAATGACTTTATGGACCCTGGGGAACTGCCCTTAGTTTCTTACTGCATAACTAGGCAAACAAGAAATGCAGTGGAATCTATTTGTATCCTGCTGCTAGATTCAGCATCCTGAGTGCCATCCTCTAGCCATTCCTTTTAGTTTTACTACATGTAAACTATTTGCAAAAATATTTTTAGTGGCTCAGGTCTGATTTCTTACCACTGTCAGAGTTCAGAGGGGTCCTGGGTGTCATCAGTCCAGCCAGATGGGAACACTGGGGCACCATGGCATGTCAGAAATTTCTCTGGCAGCATCATCCCAGGACATCCTCTCCCTAAACACACAGGGATTTTTCCCCCAGAAGAAGCCAATTCAAACTACAGTAAAATACTGTCTTTGGCTCCCATTACCACCATACATAACTGCCTTTCCTAAGCAGTACTTGTAGACATTTCAGTTGGTCACTAACAATCACTTCCAAGCACATATCAGAGTTTTCAAGCTGCTGTCAAGTGCCACTGGCACTGCAGCAACAAAATAGCTGACAGGCAGGCAGGGAGGACTCACCCTTTCCTTTGGAGCTGGGCAGCTGTCTGTATCCAGATGGATTGGATGCCTTCAGCAAGAGGTAAAGAACAGCCATTGCCCTGACTCCTTTCTTCTCTATGGCTTTCAGGCAGGCAGCACAGCCCCCAGGCAGGACATCGCAGCTGTTGAGGAGCTGAAACAAAAGTTAAGTCCTTCCAATAAAACATAACCTGGAAAAACCACACCCTGATGTACAAGTGAATGTATCTCATCCTGTCTGTGGAAATTTAACCCCCTGCCCCTACCATAGAAGTGGGAAATCAGGGACAAAGAGTAAAGCCAAAGATGGAAAGAGAATGTATACTCAGAGTAGAGCTGTCAACTGGGAACAAAAAGCATGATAGGCAATATTTAACTATTTAAAGAGCTGGAGAAATACAGCTACAGGGTCTGAAAATGGACATGCAATCTCTGCAGTGCCTTACAGCAAAATGTCACTAACAGTGGTCCCGCCTACAAAATAGTGAGCTGAACTGATCCTGAGGAACTTATACAAAGCCAGTTATTTTGCACATGGAGAGCAATGAAGTAAAAAATAGTGCCCTGAATCTCATTTATCTAAATGCCCTTTTAAACCTTTCAGCATATTTTAGCATATCAGATGACTGGACTACAAATATTCTCTCTCCAGAGTATAGTAGGAAAGTACAAAAGTATATAACAAGGATACATGTTCCTTTAGTAACTTACATTGTTCTTTTCTTCAGTATTCAGGATAGGTGGGTCAGTGGTGGCTAAACATTTTACAAGTGATTCCCAAAAGGACTGGTTCGTTTTCTCGTGATTCTCCAAGTAATTGGCATCAGCAGTAAAAACCCTCTGGAACATGTCTGGGAGAAAAAACAAGCCTATGACTGTGCAGCAGCAGAGGTGGGCTGCATGGCAGTGTTTCTGTGGTGCTCAGTGTAGGTGTGGTGACAGACTCCAGGCTCTAACATGTTGCCCAACACCAGAACACAGGAAAGAAAGTAGTGCTTTATAGTATAAAGGGTCTTGGTCTGCCAGAAAACAGTAGGAGAATATCCATACAAATAACTGATGCCCCTATGATGCCACTGTCTCAGATACATAGGGCATGTGTTTCCAAAGTATTCCTAGCTATTTAATGGGTGCTTATTCTGACCATGCTATTTTACAGACAGGCACAAAGACCCCAAGGGCTGGATACCAGGGTACTGGGATTGCTCATTAGGCATTTGATGTGCAGCAAAGTCTCCTTCGTGCACCTAAATTCCCACTATCACATGCCCAAGGCCTGACAGAAGTGTGTGGAAGAGCTGGGAATTGACTGCTGATCTCTCTTTCACAAGCCAGGGCATGGATGGAGTGTGTTTTCAGAGGAACCAGATTTCACTGACTCACGACCACACTGGCAAACACTGCTGTGGAGTGTGAATGAGCTGAAACTTTGATATTTGTGTGCTCCCCTTACCTTGCTGCTCTTCAGTAAGATCTGAGACCAGGACATTCAAGTTCTCCATTGCTGTGCCTGTTCAAAAGGGGAGAAAAAGCATATTAGAATCACATCACTGACCTTCTCTGGTTTTCTGTCTTATGTTCGATTTTCTGCAAACATGGCATGTATCTCTGGCCCTCCAGCTATTAAATCACTTCTCTGTTGCAATGGGAGTTTCACATCATGATTCATTTACCCTCCTGGGACCCAATTCTCGATTCCTCTGAGTGAGTCCTGCTGGGCTGGCCTTTGGTTATTAGGAAAGAACAAAAGTTTGATCATCATGAGTAAAACAAAAAGAAGTTGGACTTGATCATTCACGTTGTTGTTTTTTACAGCTACCAAGGTGTCTAATTAACTATTTACCACAGATGTGAGTAACTTAATAGGTCCTGTTCCATTCACAAAACAGAATGATTATTCTGTATCTTTGACATCTTAATGTATTGACCAGGGAGAACAGTTCATAGGAAAGTCCCACAAGACTTTGAATTTTTGTCTCACAGAAGACTTTGATGCTTCAACATCTGTTCTTCCCAACAAGGAAATTTCCATTAACTTCAGCTTTATGCCTACTGTGATCCAGGCATCCCACACTGATGCTTCTCCCCTCATGCAACATTTCAACTAATTCACTATTGTACTGAGATGCAGAAGATGATGCTCAGGGAGCCTGAAGCACAGTTTCTATTATGTAGGGTGCAACAGGAAAGCAGTTTATACATCCACACTTTTTCTTACAATATGATTTTTGTATCCATTCAACAAAACATTTCCAATCAAGTAGCTTAAAAACTAAGTATTTCTTTCAAATATTCCAGATGAAACCTGTTTTTTTTTCCTACAGGCACTTTCAGTTCTCTAGAGACCACCACATCAGTCAAAAAATATTCTAATACAAAACCCCAGAGAGGTCAGTTAATATCTTCAGAAGGACAGTGTAACACACAATCAAACATTCAAACAGAACAGCTTTTTAGGGTGCCAATTCTCAGAGGAAATTAGATAACAAACAGACCCCAAAGTAGCTGTAAAACCCATCTCTCCTTTGGGACCAAGGTCAAGATCCCACATTTTCAGTATGTTGGTAATTCTGGAGGCTTTCTCCTTTCCAAGGCTGCAAGTGCTCTTCAAGTGATGAGGTCCTTAGTTTGAAACTCCTTTCAGCCACTGTTTAGGCTCTAAGAAAATTACATAAACTCTTTAACCACTTCTAAAGGCTGAGCCCAAAAAACTGCTTACCTGCCTCTGAGGTGTATTGTGAGGAAACACTTTGAGATTATTTCCAATGATGAGTCCATGCAAAAGCTCTACAGTGGCAGATCATCCCTTTGCCTGACTTACATCCAGCCTTTGCTGCTGTGGCTGTGGCAGCAGCACTGTGAGCCTGTGAGCACCTGATAGGGAATGCAGGAAATGCATTTGTCCCTCTGCCAGGTCAGCAACCGCTGATGTTGAAATGCAGGAACCCAGCACACCACACACCACACCCCAGCCAGACTCGTTCTTGGCTGCACAACGAAGAGCGTCACTTCTGTGCAGTTATATATCTCCACCTATGGTTTCTGCCTTTTTCAATTTCTTTCCTGCCTTCCTATTTGCTCAGCTTAAACCTTGCAACAGTGTTTGCTTGTTTAAGTTAAATCCTTTAGGCCTCCTTCTGGACCGCAAGGTTGAAATACCAGACCTAAAGGAACAAAAGTACTTAAAATATAAACACTTCTTTTCTGACTGATGAATTCCACTTCATAAAATAATTTACAAATATCCACAGCTTTTATTGCTGAGTGAAATTAAGGAGGTTTGTCTCTGGGGTTCCTAATACCTGGTGAAGGCCACTTTCATTGGCACATTTGAGCCATGTTGCTCTTTCTGTGACATGAACACAGAAAGTGCAGCAGCTGCCCTGTGCCAGCTTTGTGTCATCCCTAAGACAAAATGAGCAGGTGGGCACTACCTGACCCGTCCCACCACACTCAAGAGCAGATTCAACATTGAGGGCAGAGAAGACACTTCACCCTCCTGTGCTGTCAGAGTGATTTACCTTAAAACTGCCCCTTTGCTGGCCCAAATGACTGGAATTTCCAGGAACAGAAACACCTTTGCCTAATGCACTTATGCATCCCGCTATGGTAAGGCCTGGATGCCACAGGAGGATTCAGGAGCAGCCAGCATCTGCTCCCATCTCCCTTTCTGTGCCTCCAGCACAGCTCAGCCCAGTCAGTCACCAAGATTTACGTAACAGAGGAAGTTGGGCACCTAATTTCTCTTAGACTATGCACAGTTAATTCCCCTGTGGCTCTTCTGGAAAGAAAATCAGATCTAAACAAAGGATAAGTATAGGTGCTTAGTTATTGTATATTTTAAAAGTGATTTAGTTGATTATACCTCATAATGACAAAAGGATGATAATATACTTACATTTCAGCCTGGCCATGAGCTCATTGGAGAATGACACAAACAACAGACCTCACCTTGCTTTCCCCAGAGTAAATCAGAATTTAATTGCAGTGAGGTCTTTTTAGCAAGTTAGAATAAAACCTGTGTGCAGAGTCAGATTTAGAAAGTGAGGCTAATAACTGCCATACACAAAAACTTTTTGCTTAGCTGCTGAAATATATCTGAAGGAAATTGCTCAATGGGATTACAAAAATGTAAATAAAGTAAAATAAGGTTGTTATGATTTCAAGACAAAACCAAGACAATCCTAAACCTTTTCCCTTTGAAACTATTTTTACCTTTCATTTTAAGTTCTATGAGGATACTGAATATTGCTTAATTTTATTTCAAACCTAAACATTAAGTCCCTCCCTGTCTTTCTATAAAACCAAACCAAACCAAACCAACTTCTTAAAGCACACCTGCAAGTCTTAGGTCATAGCAGCTGGTTCCACATGAAGATGTCCTGGAGGGCTGTGATGAAAGCTGTTTCTATCAGTGAGACAACAAAAGCTTATCCACGCTGGCTCGGTTTGAAACCATTCCTGCTCCAGTCTCCTCAGGCTGTGACACCAGTGAGGTAATTCTGCTACCCCCTCTGCTTGCCTTCCTGCTGCCAAATATAGGTGAAACGCGACACAGAAGTAGCAAAACTCAAAAGACTTCATTCTTTACAGTGTCCTTGAACACAGGCATGTGGAGAGACCCAGCATGTCCCCGCAGGGAGGGCAGCTCCCCGGGCTGGCTGGGACCGGCCCCACGGAGGGGGGAGAAGGGAGCAGGCGCAACCCACCCACTCCTTGCCACAGCTTCATCACTTCCTTCCTCTCCTGGCTTTCACAGCAAGCCCAGACACGGTGGCTGCACTGCTGCCAGCCTCACACCTGGAAACCTGGAGCAGTTTGCTCACTGCCTGTTTTCCAGCTCTGCTGGGAATGGCAGTGCTCCCAATAAGCATTTACATAAACATTCAAAATTACCTGGTTTGTATTTCTCCTTTAGCACTGTGCACTTCTCTGTGGTCACTGCAAAGCTCTGAAGGAAAGAAAACGAGCTCATCAGAAGCCAGAAGAGCTCATGCTTGTAGTCTAAGTTAAGGCAAAAAAACTCTTCCTCTCGTTCAGTGTAGGGCTTGCCATGAGGATTTCAGAGAAAAAAATATGTATATAAAATGAGGAAGCTGAGTCAAGAAGTCGCAGAGGTTACAGGGAAGTCCCGTGGCTCACCCCCACAGCACCAGAACCCTTGTACAGTGGTTTGATGCCTCGGACAGCAACCAACAACCCAACTGTGTAGCAAGAGCAAAGACACAACCCTGAAACACCTCAAGCATGACCCCAAGAAGCTCCTAAACCCTTCCCAAGCACTCACCTGCAAGGCTGTGCGGTGGTTCAGGATCCCAGGGGCAGAGATCCCAGTGCCAGCCCTGGCTTGTGGTGGCGGGTGGGTGGGAAGGCATCGGGGCTGGTGCTGGGGCCTCACGTGGCCACCCCTGACTCACAGGGTGAGCAGTGGCAGCTCCGCAGCGTCCTCTGGCCACTGCCAGTTGCACTCCAGGCGTGTTCTCATGTCCCTGAACTCTGGGGAAGGCACCAAGGCCCAATCCCGCCAGTATGAGGGAGAGGAGCTGGGCAGCTCCCAGCCTGCCTCAGGCACCAATGGGCTCAGCTGCCCTGACTAGTCAGGACCCCTCACCCCCGCCATGGCTGCTCCAGCACAGCCCCTGTTTGGGCTGGAGGGCCAGGCCTGCTTGTTTGGCTTCTCTGGGACATGAGGATGACACTGGAGATGCAGGGATCCCACTCTGAGGAGAAGGGCCCTGGGCTCCCATAAAGCTGAGCAGTGGCACCATGACAGGGGTTCAGAAGCCCAGGCATGCTGCCCTCCTGCCCAGGGCATCCCCAGGCTCAGGGAGGGAGGCACAAGTGGAATGTCTGATAGGGAAGGGAAACATGCCCTCCCTCCCACCTCCAGCAGCCAAAGAGAGGGTGCTGAAAACACAAAGCCTCTGCTTGGCTCTACTCATCCCATACCCACAGTAAGCTCATCAGTGCTCCCCTCCCAGCCCTTCTCAGTCATCTCTAACTCACATCACTCCTTCAGCACAATTTTCACTAGAGCCACCCCAGGGCTGTTTAGAGGAGCTGCTCCTTCACTGGCACATGATGGTTTCTGACCCAGCCAGCCTTCAGCAGAAGGCCACAAGAGTAGCAGAGCCCCCTGGTGCACGAGAGCCAAAACAGGCAGCACGATGCTAGTCACCCGAAAATGTGTGTGAGGAGCGACAGCAGCATCACAGGAAACTCCCAGGCACAGGATTCCAGTAGCACAGTGCCTATTGATTACACAAGGTGTGGCTGTGTTAAGTCATTTGTCACATTAAGGTAACGGTTTCACCCTGGTGTAGTTGGTGCCCCAGGAGGGGTGTGTGGGGCAGGCTGTACACCCTCCCTCTGCCCTCCTCACTTCTTCATCTACTGATGCTTCTGGAGAGCCTGGGACACAGGTAAAGTCAGTCATACTTCCTGTAGTACACGTACATAGATTTTTCTTTACCAGTTTGTTTGGGGTTTTGTTGGGGGTTTTTATATTTTTTTAGAGGAAGGATTGGGTTTTGGGGTTAAGTCGTTTCACTAGTTTTCTACAAGTGCTTTTGTTCAAGTGCCTTGTCTCACCTACCCTGCCATATTTAATTACATATAACATTTAACACTTAAAAAAGCTAATACTCTGCACCTACTTCTGCTGGGAAGAATATTATCTCATTAATTATAATGTTTTATCATGTATTACATGTGTTTATTTGGCCCTTATTTGGGAACTGTCCTCTGAGAGAGTTAGCAGAATGGTGATTTATTCTTTGTATGCTGGGAAAATTGCTTCCAGGAGGGGTTTAGAGAGGTGAGACACATGCAGAGCAGCTCTTAGCTTGACACTAATTGAGTACAGCGTGTGTGCGGATTTGTCACATGGGCAGGTTGCATGAGAAATGTAGAAATACTTCTAAGTGAGTGTAGGAGAGGCCCAGGGATGGTACATAGAGCAGTAATTGCTCCTTTAGTCATCACATTTCTGACAGATTAAAACATTCCCAAGACATCTCTTGCCCTACCCTTTTATCCAATGGGTTGGTTAAATTAGTCCCTTCTGTGCACTTACTTAGTTGCTACTTATTTTCCTTTAAATAAAGTCTGCTTCAACAACTGTTGTGAGACTACAAAGCACAGGTAACTGAGGGGGGATTATGCCTCACAGTCAGCTGCATTTTGCAGGCTACAGCTAATTTACAGCTACCTTTTCACTTTTAAACTCTGAAACTTTTGAGAAGGAAAAAGCAAGAAGCAGTAAGTACAACCCATTCCCTCACTTTCCAGACCATCACCCAACTAGTAACACCCTGAACACCCTGTTATGCTGAGATCATGAGAAGGCAGCTGTTTACCTCTGGCAGAGAGAAAGCCTGAGGTTTAGCCATGAAAGCTTTTGTAGAACCATATGGGAGAGTGGAACATAACATTGCACCCTACTTAGATCTTCTGGAATTTTTTTTCTCATTCTGTACTCTTCTGTGGAATTACTTGTCATAATAAATAATTCACTATATTAGTATTTCAAATTAACACAGTAAAATTTTAGCTAAAGCCTGTTAAATTTAAGAACTAGGCCTGTCTGAACAGGCTAAATCAACAGAAACTGTAGGCCAGGATGTATCACTCACTCCCTGGATGGTTATTGACCTCCTCAGGTTCTGTTGTCAACCGGTCCTGAGGCTAAAGAATGAGTGATTCCAGTACTGAGACAAGCACAAGATCCCCTCCTGAACAGCTGTGGGTAATGATGGTAATGTTCCCTCATTAGGGGAGCTCCCCTTTGTTATGGGTCAGCTCACAAATCGCTCTGTGGGCTGGGGCTCTGCAGGAGGGAGGGGGTTGTCCAGCCTCTGGGGCAGTGGCTGCTGCTCCTAATTTAGCTAAAATGGCAGTTTTCCAGTTAAAGGGCGGCTGCTGAAACCCAGGGCCATCAGTGGGATGGATAGTGCAGCCCCAGCACAAAGCATAAGTCCATAAAGGGCAGGTAATATTTAGTCCCACAGTACCTTAACAATATTCCTGAACCTCATGCTAATGACTGAGTTTCCAAGGTAGACCAAGACCGACCCAGCCTTTCTCCTCTCCCTCAACACCATTTTCTCCTGTCCCACCAGCTGCCTCAGCACTTTCCAGCTCTGGCACCTCACTCTGTGAGGATGCCTTTCCCACAGCAGAGCCAGGGCTCTGGCCTTCTTATGCTCCTTGGAGGAGGCAAAAACAAAGGCTGAAAACCAATCCCAGTTGTGCACTTGCTACAACCTGAGCCAGGGTGCAGGAAATACAGGCAGAAGCGGGGAACAGTGAGGTGCAGCCAGCCACAGGCTTGAGCCAAGTGCTGCAGCAAGCACAAGGATCAAGAGCTCTGAGGACAATCTTCCCAAAGGACTGCTTCTAGGAGCAATCAGCAAAAAAACCTGCACAAAATCAGGATCTCTCCTCTTCCTTGTTCTCCCAGTTCCCTGGGGTCCCTTCACATCTCCATTTTTTCTGGTCTAGCAATAGGGCTGGAAGTGCCTTGTGGAGGCAGAGCCACAGGCAGGGGACCACACGTGCTCCCTGGGAAGCAAAAGGAGCAGGAGGGACAATTCCCTGCTTCAGCTGATCCTCTTGATAAAGCTTCTTTCCTCAGCCCTTCTAAGCACACAGGCAACGCCAAGGATTTCGATATTTAATCCTCACATTTTGTGGAATGGGTTTGGTCCTAGAACCCATTTTGTAACCCTGTTGGCAAGGCAAGGCAGGCTGAGACCTGTCCTCGCACTGCTTTCTCACCGATGCGCCTGCTGGGAGACGGTAAGGCCAGGAAGCAGAAAAGTTACTGGGTAGTGAAGCACATGTGGGGTTACCTGTTGGCACAGCAGGGCTGGGGCTGGGCCAGCAGCTCCGTGCTGCACTGACACACCTGGCTGGAACATCCCCCAGCCAAGGCGAACCTCGAACCTGCCACAGGTGTGACTGAAGCCGACAAGACTCCAAGTCTGATCTATCCATTGTTTCCCCAGGATGTTATTGTCAAACTTTTGCTTCAGGATATCCCCAGTGAGAATCCTCCCCCTTCCCAAAAAGAGGGTTCTGTCAACTACTGGCTTTTTGTTTCTGTGATACAAAGTGAAAACGCACGGACTGTGTCAGACTGCACAGGGAGAGAGGGATGGGGAAGGTGAGCTGACACTCTAAAGCTAAATATGCTCTAGGACCAAGTCCCAGGTCCTCAGGCTCTGCAGAGCTCAGAGCAGTACTGCTGGCAGCTTCTGGAAACTGGACACAGAAATCTCAGTGAATGTGGAGACCTCCCATACCCTGTGACCTCCCCAGCTCACTGACCTGGGGATCAGCAGCAATCCCAAGCAGGCAAGGCCAATCTTCTCTTTGGGAGACAACTACTCGAGTGACTCCCACTGCTGTCAGTGCCTTAGTACCAGGATGCAAGCAGACACCATCTTCTGGGATCTTTAAAATTCAGCTTTGTCAAGTTATTAGGGTCAAAGTGCAGCTCTCCCTCAACACAGCTGTGTCCTAACACATTCTGCTCTCGAGATCACCTCAGCTCACTGAATGATTATCAGCTTCAATCACCTGCAACATAAATGGGATGAAGGTACATTTGACTTTAAAGTCGTTTCTTAAAATCAAGACTCTGCTCTTAGTAGGCACAGAGAGAGCCCAAAGGTTATTTATTAGAACTATTTAAGTCTGATCCAATCCATTCATCTTAAAATATGTGCTCTGGAACGGAGACTACAACCTTGGAGGGCTATGCAAAGCTTGAATTCAAGCTCTATCTCCCTCTTCTGCTGACACCACAAAAATGGTGATGCCAACCTCATCTCCTGCCCGAGATCAAAATGCTACTGCTCATTCCCCAATCATGGAACCTCAAATGGGGACTGCCCAACTGTTCCAGTCACTCCATGAGGCCTGGCTGCCTGTCCAGCAGGCAGTGAGCATGACAAGCCCCCTATTTGCCATCTGAGTGAGAAACTTTCTCAACCTACAGATTGGCTCAGGCTCTGTAGGTCCATTCTGGCACCTTTGTAAGGGGCTTCAAACTGCTTCCTCTGCAGTTCAGGCTCTGGGAAAAGGTCTCAGACCACCAAAATATCTCAGATACCAATAATCAGAGCTGTGGGGGTGCCCAAGCACCCGTATCTCTCAGGACATGCTCTGAGCACACAGAGCATGTTGCCATCTCCTGCTACATTAAGTGTGAGGTGGGGATAACAGCAGCACTAACACGACACATAAATCAGTCTTCTAAATTAGAATACACAAATCCACTCCAGAAAAGTTTAATGTGGGTTCCTGGGGCATCATATTCTGAAAAAAAAAAAAAAAAGCCAAAATACAGTACAAAGAAAAAAAGGCAAACAGAATTCCCCAGTCCTTAAAATAATGAAATATAATCAGAGCTACATCTATTTACAGGGCTGCACATCACAGCAGCTGCTAGAAAAAGCAGTGTCACAGCCTGAGGACCAGAAGGCTTCTCCACCTCCCAGAGATGGCCTGGAAAAAGCAGTACCCAAACCAGAAAGCCTAGTCTTGCAGAGCTCTAGGGAACTACTAAGACTTCCTCAAAGGAAAAGGGCAGAACTCAGTATCACAGTGAGCTGCCCAGCATTCCAGCTGGGAGACGAACCAGACAGGCTGATCCCAGAGTGCTGAAGCTCCATGAGAGCACAGGTCCTGGGAGAAGTGGTACCTTCTATCAGATCCCTGTTCCAAAACTGTTTGGCCACACCAACTGCGTGGCAAAACCTACTCCTTTGAGAAATCCTGGGGTCAGAGGAAAAAGAGAGAACCATTACAACAGCCTGTCAGGAGACCAAGCAGGGATCCAAGGGAGACACAGCACAATACGAGCTGGGAACAGGAACAAACAATGGATCTAACAAGGTCTACCCAGAACAGCCACAGTCCCAGGGATGTCTGTGGTAGCCATTCACTCTTTGGGTGAAGAATCTTAATCATTTCCATGGGCATTGTGCACTAAAAGCAGCTAAGCCTCCCTGATGTGCAGCCCAACCTGAATGTAACCACTGAGAGAGCTGGGGAAAAGGCTGGAGGACCACTTATTCAAACAATGGAAAACACAGAGATTCCTATAGAGAAAAAAACTGTGAGCTTGGAGGAGAACCTATACTGAGCAACCAGCTGATGTCAGACAGCCTCAAAAATATAAAGAACATTAAGTTACCCAGGTGCTCAGTAAACACTGCAAACATCACATGGCCATCATGAAAAAACTAACATTTCAGTTGGAGAATAATATACCAAGACATTTAAAGCCCACTGGGAAGCAATAAAACCTTTACTGTAGATACCAACTCCATGGACTTCCCAACAAATGCTAAATATGAGCAGTGAGTGTGCAGATCTAGATGCCCACTGGAAAACTGAGATAAAGAAAGGAGTGGTGGGAAGGGCTGAGAGACTTTCTTCTCCGTGCCACTTGCCTCCCAGAGATGAGGATAAGCACCTCTTCCCAGGTGCTGGCAAGGGGCTCTCTCCTGTGGTATGTGCACCGTGCACCATGCCAGGTGAGCCTCCTGTCCCCACACTGCCCTGGCGTGTGCACGTGAAGGCTGAGACATCCTCCAGACCACTGGGATCACCAGATTTCTGCTGTGACCCCTAAAGGAGCACAAAGCACCTCAGAGGCTGGTCAGGTACTTCCCGGAGCTGACAACAGCCAGGCCCGCGGCCTCTGTGGCACAGCCCCCACGGGTGGGGAGGAACCGTGCCCAGACCCCATGGATCGAGCAGATGGAGGGGCAGGCTCTGGACATCCAGGATGGTGGCAGGGAGCCGGGCATCCCTTGGCCCGGCCCCAGGCAGGCAGGCAGGCAGGCAGAGAGCAGGCAGGGCAGGAGCACAGCGGTTTATTGGCAACACGAGTAGAGGCGGCGGCGGTGGCGGCGGGCCCCGAGCGAGGTGCGGGGCGGCGGTGCTCCGGCGGGGGGCCGGGGCCGCCCCGGGCCTATGTCAGCGTCTCCCCCTTGGTGACCTACGGGAAGAGGAAAGGCCTCAGCCAGGGCCGGCCCCAGGCCCGAACCGCCCCCCCACCCTGCCGCCGCCCCGCTGCTCACCCGGGCTTCGATGTACTCGATCCTGCGCTCCAGCGCCGTCAGCTTCTCATTCAGGGTGGCCAACCGGGACCGGCACGACATGTCTGCGGGGAGGCGGCAGTGAGACACCGCGGGCCCCCGCCCCGCCCGGCCCGCCCGCAGCCCCCGCCGCCGCCCTGCGCCCTCACCGAAGGAGTTGAGGAAGTCCGCGATCTTCTTGATGGAGCTGGTGATCACCTCGATGTACTCGCGGTTGGCCCAGTCCTGGTGGATCTCCCGCTGCACCGGGTCCTCCTGCACCGACATGGCCGCCGCCGCCGCCGCGCCTGCGCGGGGCCCGGCCCCGCCCGCCCGCCCGCCGCCTCAGGGCCGCGCCGGCCCGGCCCCGCTGCGCCCCGCGCTGCCTTCCGTGTCCGTGTCCGTGTCCGCCTCCGTGTCCGTGCCGCTGCCGCTCGGCTCCTGCGGGACACACCGCCCTCAGAGCCCGCGCTGCACCCCCGGCCCGCCCCCGCCTGCGCTGCCAGGCGGCCCCTGAAGTACCTCCTCAGCGGGTCCCGCCGAAGAGTCCTCCGAGCCCTCGTCCGAGTCCCGCTCCTCGGAGGGCTGAGTCAAGATTTCTTCTCCCTGAGTTGAAAGCAGAAGACCTGCACTGAGCGTGAGGGGCAGCCACTGTTCCTTCCCCCGGGGTGGGAAGGAAGTAATAGGCATTTTGTTGCCTTCTTAAATAAAAAGCTTTCAAGTAAAAAAAAAAAAAAAAAAAAAAAAAGGGAGTTTTGTTTAACTATCTTGCTTCTACAGTGAAAGATGAAGGCAAGAGCCAAGATTGGGTTCTGTTAAAACCACACACGAGAGTGTGTGAAGGTGTTCAAGTGACCTTTATCTCCTCCCTTCTGTGCATGGGAAGGACCCCCATACCAAGTCATTACAGACAATCAAATCTGACCCCTCAGTGTGAGACCCTCCCAGCAAAGCTGCCCCAGAGATGCAGGTCTTAATCTTGAAATAAAATGTTTCTTTCTGCTGCACTAGACATGATTGTACTACAGTCACACTGAATTTGGCCTTTTAGTTCTATCCTTACACAAAGGCAGAGTTACAGTTGCCTGGGAAAGATGAGCACTGTCCTTTCCCAGATTGCAACTGCCCCGGGCAGGGCAGTAATTCTCACCTGGAGATCCCGATTTTTGAGGATGCCGACCCAGAAGGCCTCCTGGCAGTGGTTGAATGCCAGCATTGCCTTCACTCGGTACACAAATTGTTCCAGTGACTTCTTCAACAAAGGGACATGGTTGGTCAGTCCAATATCTTGGTGAATCTATGAAACAGTAAAACACAACTATGATTGATTCTTGCCTAAGTGCTCTGGCTGTTTAAAATCCATTGGATATCAGGTGGGAAAGATGGGACATGATCCCCACAAAAGGGATCCATGCCTGGATTGTGTCACTTCTTGGCCAAATTATGGCTATTCTTAAAAAATAAAGCTCTGATCAGTGTTTGTGTAAGGCTGCAAAATGATCCCTTGCAGCAATCCAAATTAAAACAGAAGGAGCCTCAGCTTTTGTCATGAATTCTAGAGAGAGGCTAGTATCTCCTCTGCTGAATTCCCAAGCTCAGAGGAATAAAAATGGAAAAGGTACTGAATATACCACTTCAATCACATCTTTTCTTGCTCAGTGCCTCATGCAATCCCTTTATCCCAGCTACATGGAATGTGTGCACACTATAATCTACAAAGCCAGTTTCTCCAGATCAAAGAAGCATTGGGCTTTTGGAGAACTAGGACAGGAAGGAACAGATGGAGTTGGTGTGAGCAAAAACCACCAGAGGAAGGGCAGTTATGCCAGGTATTGTGTGAGATTCAGCTCCAGGTGAGCACCTCCTCCTGACAGGCTTCGATCTGCAGCTCAGAACAGTCATTGCTAAAGCAGAAAACCTGCCAACCTGACAAAACCCGCAATTATTTTGTGCACAAGTCTTTTCATCTTTCATGAGAATACTTTGTAACCTTCTGGCATTAAGATGCTCTCATTAGCTATATTCTGAATTCAGGTCATCTGCATTTCTTGGAAGAGTTCAACATGCCTGGGCACTGCTTTGCTTCGAGTTCTGCCAACAGGGAATGAGTAACTGATTTCCAACAGCAAGCTGTTCTCTAGCCTGTGTAACAGGCAGGACCTAGCAATCACCAGCACTAATCAGAACCAAATCAGCAAACCCTTGCTAAAGACACAATCAACACTCACAGTGCTCTCTGAGTCCTGGAACCTGCCCAACTGTCTGCAGGCAGTCTGGAGACTTAAAGTACCACAGCATTGGCAAAAATCTGCCTCCAGAAACTGTCCAGCATAAGATATGTAAACAGAAGAGAGGCTTGGTGTGAAAGAGGAAATGACGAATACTTAGGAAATGACAGGTGAAGCTGATTGCTCTTGTGTGATGCTCCTTAAAGACACATGTATTGAGGGAGAGTAACAAGGTCACACTGCATGATACCTCAGTGAGCATCTGCTAGGTCTGTATGAAAGGGAAATCAAGGTTGGTCTGACAAATGTTGGCATGAACTCAGCTTGAAATGGGTATGGAGCATTCACGGCATACATTTACTTGACCATATTCAGCTTCTCCCTTCTCATTCTTGCAAAATTATTTGGCACAGAGACCTGTTCAAATTGCAGCAGGTACAAGAGCAGTGGCAGAACATGGGTGTTCACTAATGACAGCTCTGTGCTAACAGGGACCATGGGACATGGCACTTGAAAATGCTGCCCAAGCACAAAGACAAACATGACATGGCAACCTGCAGCGCTGTTATCCTGCCTCCAAGGTGAATTGTGACTTCAGAGCGGGCATGAGGATTTCACTTTCAAATGCAAGAAGGACATTTTAGCATCTTCAGGCTTTGTGCCAGCTCTCTTCTTGTGAGAGCTGCAATGGCATGTTCTGATCTCCAGCTAAATTTCTATGCTCCTGATGCCAGCTCTGGACTAAATTGGTAGCAAATCTGGCTGAAGAGCCAGTCTGGTAGCTGGCTTTCTCCCTTCAACTACTTTGGCAAAGCTCCCTTCTCAGATGTGTTCTTGAACCTCTTAGGAGTCTGACAGGAACAAAGCAGCACACATGGAGTTCTTTCCAACTGCCTTCTCCCATGTGTTTCTCTGTTGCAATAAGCACCATCTCTTCACACTGTAAGCAGTGTTAATCCTCTCCTTCCTTCCTGCCCCAAGTCTCCTAAAGAGACTGGCAGACTGTGTGTTACCACCTTCCTCTCCTCCCTTTGCCCTCTTCCCTGGTATCAACATAATATCATAAAAGACACCTCAAGAGGACTTTGAGCATCATTTTTCCCTGTCTGCTACCTGTTGCTGATTTTTCTGACTCACAAGGCTGTTGATCTTTGGCAAAGCTTCTCTCCCATATTATCAGTCTGGCATCTATACTTTGTGCAAGATCTGTCTCTAAGGTCTTAGCTTGAGTCCTCAGCAACACCCCTTTACAGATGCCAACAACCAAAGATGTCCAGAACTTCTGTCCCTAAAAATGATAACCTGATCTGAAATCCAAGTTAGCCACTTCCAGAACAAATGTTTCAACTTTTGGGTCATTAATCAAGGCTGTTTCACCTTCTCTCAGAGTTTTTGCTTATACAGACACGGCTGGAAGCATGCAGATAGAACCTGCCTATGCCCTGGAAGAGCAGTGGAAGGGAAAGAAACCATTATTAGGACAGTTCGTGCTGCAATTGGAACTTATCTTACCTTGGAATGGCCACACATGTGATGAAGTTGTCTGGTACTCAACTGCAAGGTTTTCAGCAAACTCTGCACATCATCCTGCAATAAATAAGTAGACCAGCAAATCATTCTCGAAGAATTTTTCCAAAAGGGAAACAAGAATATTGAAACAGCATTAGTCCTAGCAATCCTTTCCAAAGGTTATGGGACAGAAGTATGGTGTGTGTGCAGGAAACATCAGACAAACAGGATCAGGCCACAGGAGACTTGCACTGTGCATCTAAGTCAAGTAACTGGTAATAAAAGTCTGACCACATATCATAAGGTCAAGCACTTTAAACTGAAACTCATTTTGAACTGAAGTTTGGAATGAATGCCTATCAGTGAAAGCTGAGGCAATTAAAATTAAGACAACTTGGTCACATCTTGTCTTGGGTACGGCTTCTGAATAGGGGAACCAGAGAAAAAGTTTAAAACATACTGCTGGGTTGTGCTATTTGAAACACATCCAACGTGAACTCCAGATATCAAAGCTTTGTATTGAGCAACCTGCCTGCTCGCACGAGCTTCCTACTCTGAGAGTGAAACCTCTGTGGTAATTACTTTTGAAGCAGATGGAGGCTGAAAGGACTTCATTTGCTAACAGTGCAGTCATTCAACCAGAGTGATGGCAAGTTGGGGAACAGTTGCTGGGAGAGCACTGGACAGGCAAGTGAACAGGGCAGAGCACAGCTGGAGACATTTAGATGAGTTTGTCATGAAGGGTCACAAGTGTCCTGCCAACATGTGGCCAGAGACAGGAAGCTCCTTCTAGCAAGCATCAGTCATGCTTCCCAACTGGTTCCAGACAGTTCTGCTCCCACAAGGCTTACCCTGTGCTTTTTAAAGCTGTGGTCCAGGAGAGGCATGGCAAGCTTCAGAAAAGCTTCTACAAATTGACGGCCGTACTGTAAGAGAATGATAAATATACCAAAAGGTAAATTTAAACTCCTTTTCAAAGAACCATCCCAAAGTCAGATGAGATAATGATACATTCTTTCAAGATAACAATACATTCATTGCCAGAGGCTTAGTAAGACTACATCCATGTGAAGGTTTTACTGGAATATACAGGATCAGTAATGGGCAATGATTCAAGAAAGTTGCTATTAAACTGCTCTCTTCAGTATTTTGAACCCTTGCTCACCTTCAGGCAGATGCTGAGTACAGGCCTGCTGTCAAATACCTACTTGGGCGAGAGGAAGAAAGAGTCAGATCATTCCACAAGTATAAAGGAAACAATCATTACTTCAGATATGACAAAAGCAAACAGTAATGATGAACCTAAGCAAGGAGAAAAGTGCAGCTGTATCTGTCATCTTCTGCCCAAACCAGGGTCACACTCAGTGACACTGAATGAACCAGCCCCAAAACTGACAGAAGGGAGTATTTCATCCAGTGGGGCTGGCCTTGAGTTCATCACCACAGGATGGCATGAACTGTCAGCAGGAGTCAAAGGAAGATCCTATGTTATCACAAGAGAAAGTGGAGCTGAGGGCTATGAGGCAAGTTACAGACAGGAATCCAAGCCTCCTGTTCTGAGTATTTGCCAGCCTTCAGCT